AGGAGTGTTTTTTGTTTTTTTTTTTTTTTTTTTTTTTTTTTCTTTTAACAAAGTAGGTAACATCCACAAGTTTTTTCTAAATAGGGACTACCTTTTATGGGTGTTTGCATTCCATATCTAGAAGAAGCAAATCATAGATTTAGCTGCTTATGTTTGAGCCAAGGAATCATGCAACTGGGACAAGCTATTTTTATTTCCTTTAGACTAGCCAGACTGGTAATGTGGGACGGCAGGAAAAGGCCTAGATCTGAAGTCAGGGGACCCATATGTTTGAAACCCGTATTCACCAGTCAGTAGTTACAGAACTTGGCTAAGTTGTTCACACTTTTAATCTTTAGTTTTCTAGTCTATAAAATACTCTCACTTCACAGGAAGGAGGAAAAAAATAACCTGTGAAAAGGTTTCCAAAAGTTCATAGGGGCTAACCAGTGGTGTGGTGGTTAAGGCAGTTGGATCCCACACGGCTGTCTGCACTGTTTGCGTCCCAGACCTGGTGGCTTGAAAAACATGCTGGGAGTATGTGCATGCGTGCTCCAAATCTCAAGAAAAATCAAGAAGGGACTGCAGCATCGAGTGCTTTCTTACTCCCTGCTTCTCCACCCCCTGCCCTGTCTTTCTCTGATGAGTACAAGCCCCCTACAGCAAAATTTAAGGGAAAAAAAAGTTCAGGGAAAAATGGAATTAAAAGGCAAGTCAATTTTGGTGCATAAAAATCCAGGGACCAGCAGATAGTTCAATAGTTCCATCACTGGATTCCCACAGTCGACCATGGTTCAAGTCCTCAACCCAGTGGCTTAAAACTCATACCAGGCATGCATGTGTGCGTGCAAGAGGAGAATGGAGAAGGGACTGCAGCATGGCCATCCCCGCTAGGGGGGTGATTTCTTGCTTTCTGTCTCTCTGTGTGTTTCTGGCTCTCTGGTGAGCACACATGCCCTATAGCAAAAATCTCTCTAAAAATAAATAAAGAAAAATCCATGCGATTCTTTCATTATATATATTTTCCATGAACTTCTGAAGACCATGTAAATGGAAAAGCACATAACACATGAATTTAATGTGCTTCTTTCCTAAACTTATTGAAAGCCACTATTACTTAAACACAATACTTTTGAAAATATAAATTGCTGGGGGCCAGCAGGTGGCATAGAAGTTAAGGCACTAAACTACCACATGGCTGACCATGGTTCAAGTCTTGTACCTGGTGACTAGAAACAGGCTGGACACACGTGTGTGTGTCCACAATCCCAAGAGGAGAATAGAGAAGGGATAGAGGCATGACCATTCCCCCAGAGGATGATTTCTCTCTCTCTGGTGAGCAAATGTACCCTATGACAAAAATTTCTTTAAAGAGAAAGTAATAGTCAACATGCTTCAGTTAGAATGTCAGTTTATTACACTGGAGAAGTTTTTATCCAAGACCCAAGTTCGCAGCAGCACTATCTGTAATAGCAAAACTCTGGAGACAACCTAAATATACATCAAAATGGAGAGAGACTTTATATATAGAAAACACTCAGCATACTATGCAGCCTTTAAAAATGAGAAAGTCTGTATTTACTGACATAGATTTCCATCACAAATAAAGTTAAAAAAGATAGTAGCAGATATACATACTAGGATCTTGCCTTCGATAAACTGAACAGTAAATGTCTGTTATAATACTCAGTGAACTTACCAGCAGTTATCTCTGGAAGGGGGTGTTGAGGAATGAACTTTTCCTGTACTTCTGTTTTCTCTCTTTTTTTTGGTGTGTTTTTTTTATAAATCGTTACAGACATGTTACTGTACAAAAGTCCTTTTGTTCCAGTTCAGAGTCATGATACTTCCTTCTCCACAACAGCACTCAGAGTAAGAAAAAGTTATCGATAACTC